ACAAAAGTCCGCATGGTCAAAGCAATGGTATTCCCAGTAGTAATGTATGGCTGCGAGAGTTGGACTATAAGGAAGGCCGAGCGCCGAAGAATAGATTCTTTTGAACTATGGTGCTGGAGAAGACTCTTGAGAGTCCCTTGGACTGCAAGAAGATCAAATCAGTCAATCCTAAAAGAAATCAACCCTGACTGTTCCCTGGAAGGCCAGATAATGAAACTGAAGCTCAAATACTTTGGCCACCAAATGAGAAGGGAGCACTCACTGGAGAAGACCCTGATGCTGGGAAAGATTGAAGGTCAAAGAAGACAGGGACGGCAAAGGACGAGATGGTTAGACAGTGTCATAGATGCAACGAACATGAAATTGAGCCAACTTCAGAGGACGGCGGAAGACAGGAAGGCCTGGCAGGAGCTGGTCCATGGGGCCGCGAAGAGTCGGACTCGACTGTGCGACTGAACAACAACAACAAGAATTAATGCCATCACCCTATTGAGTGCTTTTTTCATGTGTAGGAGGTAAAATATGCACACAGTCCTCCATGTGGTCTTCCATAGTTAAATCAAAGGAAGAAGCAGTTCTGTTAAGTGCTTTTGATTATGAGGCTTCTCTATCCAGTCATTAAAGTGATTGGGGAAATTTTAGTCATGAGTGGGACCACTCATGGTGCTGTAGATCAGGGGCAATGCATCTTGTGAAACAGAGTAATGTGTATTTTAGACTGTGGCAAGAAATTGCTTTCTAATAGTTTTCATGTAAAGAGCCATACTTGGCAAATTTCTAAGCTCACTTTGCTCGCAGCACTCAGAACTCCAAATTAGACATTTGGAACTAGACTATTGTGATATGCATAGCTAAATCAAGGATCACCTGGTCCAAGATGCATCCTGAGATACATGGCAGAGTGGTGATTTAAAGCTAATGATTTTTAGTAATAACAGAAGACTAATTGCCCCAGTGAATGTGTGTGTGTAAAGTGCCGTCAAGTTGGAGCTGATTTACGGAGACCCCATGGGGTTTTCAAGGCAAGTGAGTAAGTAGAGGTGATTTTCTACTGCTTTCCTCTGCAAAGACTTCCTTGGTGGTCTCCCCTGCAAGTATCGATCCTGCTTAGCTTCCAAGTTCTGACAAAACTGGACTATGCTGCCATTCCACATCTCCCCCAGTGAATAGCTACCTAGAAAAAATGTTTTTTAAAGTGTACTGTTAAGTCCAACAATATTCAAAATCAAATATTTATACAGAAAAATAAAGAAAAGAGAGTAGGAGAGGAAAGGAGAAATCTCAAAAACAGCCAACATATTACAAGGGGATTCATTGTAGTAAAAACAGAGCAACTATTTCCAAATTAAGCTAAAAGAAATGGATATTTGTAGAATGATACCCACTTTGCTTCAGTAAAGCTTGGCTAGCAGGAAGACATACACGCACAAGGAAGTCAATTGTGAAATTCTGCCAGTGGCTTTGTAACAATAGATGTGTGCTTTAAGCATTTCCCAACCATATGGTGAGTTTGGTAAATTGCTTATTCAGAGGAAATGTTGCAAAATTCAGCATGACGAATGTAGGCTTGGTTTTAATCTGATTTTTTCTCTAACCCTTCACATCAAAGATTTAATTCTTAAAATTGTCTGATTGTCCCCTTCTTTTAATAACAGGCAAGCACAATTTAAAATTGGTCTGAAATAAACAGAACAGTGAAAATATACTTTCATAGTGTCTTGCTAGCATAATTTGGCTTTGTGTTAAAATTCTTCAGCTACCTAATATAGTGGAAAAAATGATCCAACATACCACAGAGTAAATGAAGTTTCTTCCCCATCATATGACCTAGATCCAGCGTAGTATAGTGGTGAGATCTTAGAGAAACACATTCAGATCCCTACACTGTCGCAGATGCTTGCTGAGCAACCTTGGGTTGGCCAGTACCTGGGGTTGCCATCCTCCAGGTGGTAGCTGGAGTTCCTCCACTGTTACAACTGATCTCCAGGCAACAGAGATCAGTTCACCTGGAGAAAATGGCTGCTTTGGAAGGTAGACTCTATTGCATTATACCCCCCTGAAGTCTGTCCCCTCCCCAAGTCCCACCTTCCTCGGGCTCCACCCCCAAAATCTCCAGGTATTTTCCAACCTGGAGCTGGCAACCCTACCATTCCCTCTGTGTCAGTCTAGCCTACCTCACAATATTGTTATGAGAATAAAATGGAGGAGGGGACGCCAAGTAAGCCACTTTGAATGCCTGTTGAATACCCTGTTTAACTAAATAAATAAACAAACAAACGAATTCAGGCACCAAATAATTGGAGACCTATAAAATTTTATAGAAATATAGGAGGCATAAGTTCCCACTGTCCACACCAGTGGTTTGCTGAGTGGCAGGCATTTAACATTCCATACTCACAATGAATGGGGCCTACTGAATCCTGTGCCTCACTAAATTACGGGATGGCTGTAAACATGTGGTAATGCTGTTGTCTGGAATGTCTGGAAGCTCCTCTTAGCACAAACCCACCATATGGAAAATTATTAAACATGAACCTAAAGAATAATCCACCCTTGACTCCATTTGCAGTATGCTGGACCATAGGGTTGCCAACCTCCTGGTGGAGTCATCGCTGAACACCCACTTCCTTGTTCCTGAGCTGGTTTGACCGATTGTTCTTCCCCTTGGAAAGTTTAAATGAGTCAACTTTAGGGTTGCCAAGTCAGAAGCGGCGCTGGAGTGGGGGACTCCAGCGCCGCAACCCCATCACCCGGAAGTGACACGACCACGCCGGGCATGCTGGGGGCGGGGCCATGACCATCCGAGGGAAAACCATACAGTTTTCCCTCGGATGACTGTGGCCCCGCCCCCAGCGTGCCCGGTGTGCCCGCGTCACTTCCGGGTGACGTGCATGTCGCGTGGTTTGGGGGTGGGGTTCCCCCCAGGGCCCGATCTGCTGGCGGCAGGGAACGGGCCTCTGGGGCAGGGGTTTCCCCGCCCCCCGGGGGGACTTGGCAAGCCTAGCTGGCAATCCCATGTGGACCCACTTTTCTCCTCAAAGAGGCAATACAATTTTACCACTTGAAGCTGCCTTATATTGAATCAGACCATTTATTTTCCAAGATCAGTATTATCTACCCTACTGTCTGGGGTCTCAGGTAAAAGTCTTTCACATTACCTTCTACCTTATCCTTTAAATTGGAGCTGCTAGCAATTGAACCTTGGACCTTCTGCATGCAAAGGAAATGCTATGTGCAAGAGCCAGAAACACTTCTCAAGGAGTAAAACTCTTTTAGAAATGCCTGCCTATTAATTTTCAAGATGGAGTCCTTAAAGGAGGTACATGGCAAAGTTCAAGGAGTGGAAATGGACCTGAGAAAAAAGCCGCCCTGAGCCTTCGGGAAGGGCGGGATACAAATCTAAAGAATAAATAAATAAATAAAATCCACAACAAATCCACCAAATCCACCAGCTGCCCTCCTGCCTGTTTGTACTAGCCTGTTTGGTATAGTGGCTACAGTTACTAGAGAATAATCTGGGAGAACCAAGTTTAAATCCCCACTCCACCATGAAGCCTGCTACATAACCTTGGTTCAGTCACTCTCAACCTCTCATGGAGGAGTTGAACATGATGTATGCTGCCTTGGGTGAAGGGCAGGATAAAATATACTAAATAAATAAATAAATTTATTACATTTAACATCAGAAAATTACTCTTTGGAAACCTGTGTTGAAATCAGTTTAAAGTTTCCAGAGTGCAGAACTTTTTTCAGTGATAACCTTCCTTTAAACCGATGAAATTATTTACAACAATACACCAGATTACAAGAATAGTAATGCCACAACTTGATCTATAGTGACAATACCAAACCATGACCAAGGTAGTTATGTATGACCCCAAAACACTTCTTTAAAAAACCAGATGTTTATTATTCAGTCCCATTACTAGAAATGCACAGAGATGCTGGACTGAAATTTTTTTCTGAAGACCAGTGACAGGTTATACCACAAGGCAGACAAAGCAATTACCAGCAAAGGCTTGGCATAAAATAGTTAATTTGCATTATCACATTGTGCATATTCACAACATACATATTTTAAGCTTTTAAACAGAAGCATTTACAGAAAGTGCAACTGGCAAAATAGTTTTTAGACCACTTCCTCTACTGCTTAAATAAGGTATTTTAAAATGAAAAACACAGAAATACTGGCTCACACCATCAAGTGAGACCAAACATAATCCAGGAATTATTGTGGTGTTTCTATGCAAGCCACAACCAGTTCACAGAAAGTTTCATCAAACAACCCAACACATCAATCTTGGGGAAAAGATAACATCCAATTTTGGGGGCAAAATGGGTCTGAGAGTTTAACTTAATTATTGATGTTTTATTCCTTCCAGTTGTGTCTTTTTTCCAACAAGTACTAACAACATATTTCTAAATGAGCAACATTGGCCTAGTCATCTAAGGAGCACCTGTACATGAAAACAGGCTTCCAATCTACATACATATCTCCTGCTGGACTGCAAACACATGTTGTGTGCGCAGTTCTTACAACTCTACTAGAAAACACACATGTAAGCCCCCACCCCCCCGGTCAGTTTTATCAGCACTACCCATCTGATTGATGAATATATCTTTCTGCACATGTCTTTCTGATCAGGACTTTTGTTATTTACTTTATCCACAGTTCAGATTTGTTCAGGTTAACATCTAGGACATATTGAAAAATTCTCAAGGACATTTCACTTGCTTGGAATATAAGGTATGTGCCTGCATAGTCTGTCTACAGTGACTTTGCAATTCCATTTTGTTGTCCTATAAGTAGATCCAAAAAGTTACCCTATATGAGATGACTTTGGAAGTTAACATGAAGCAGCCCTCAATCAGCAGACTCAAGCAATTAGACTGAGGAGTCCAAGCCTACAGTTTTGGTGCCACGGTTATATGCTGTCATAAGCACCACAACTCTGCTTTTCAGACTAAAAGAGATGATTTCAAAATCTAAATTCTCTTACCTTTGGCTTTTGAGATTTCTCCTTATCTGAAGCATTAGAAGGTTTTCTCTTCAACATTTTAAAAATCAGATTTATTCAAAATAAGTTTACAGAGGAGAGTTGGTAGACTGTTCTCAGATAAAAATGCAACAGTGAATGATTCACAAGAACCTGCATCAGCTAAAAAAAGCTTCCTTATTCTACTAAAGGCTCTCTGTTAGATGTGGTTGAAACATTCATGACAGCGGAAGGAAGACCAAAAGAAGAAGAAGAAGAAGGGGGTGGAGAGAGAGAGAAATGTTGTCTTATAATTCACCCTTTACCCACGTTCATTTCAAGGTAGCTTGCATGGAAACAATGCTTGATGCATTATGACTTTGAAAAGCAGAAGTGACACCAGGAATCCACAAACCTCTTAAGTGTTTGATATATTTCAACCATCCTTTGATACCACCCTGAAAAAACTCCTGTCATGTCTGTCCTTACCAGATCATTCTGTAGGAGTTTCTATGTAAAGCGAGGCTATTGGAAAGAAGATGGAGGAACCAATTGATTCTCTCCCATCTATCTTTTTTTTTTCCATGCAGAGTAAGCTTACAAATAGGAATTTGGGCTAACTGTAATTCATCTTTAGGATCCTTTTGCACAAAAATATCTGACTGGCTCAGCTGACATGTTCCTCTTCCCTAAACTTTCCTCCTGTCTGTCAGAAATTGAATGATACTTGGTTTTTTAGCAGCCTGAACTAAATCACAGTACTTGGTTTAAGTGTACATTTGATAGCAATGGGATCCAGTAAGCTTCATTCCTATGATTTTATTTACTTGGGCTGTAAAGTAACCTGACATATTATGCTTTACTACACTACTGGAAAATCCATGTAAGTAGATAGGAGAAGTAGTACAGGACCTTTTGTTGGTACACTGAATCCACAGTATCCTGTCCACTATCTAGGGCAATGGCCTTAGTTATGTTAGGTATTCTATTGCAGTGGAGGCAAAGGATCATGACCAGAATTTGACCGGCTGGTCAGGCAACTGGTCCCCTATCTCACCTCCCTATCTCCATGCAGTGGTCACTTCCAGGCTGGATTACTGTAACTTACTCTACACAGGGCTGCCCTTGAAACTGCAGTTAGTGCAGAATGCAGCCATACGCCTGCTGATAGTGACATCTGAGTGGGTGCACATTCAGCCAGTGCTATGCCAACTGCATTAGCTGCCAATTGAGTACCGGGTCTGGTTCAAGGTTATGGTACTGACCTTTAAAGCCATATGCGGCCTGGGACCAGCATACCTATGGAACCATCTTTCCCTGTATGTGCTCCAGAGAGCCTTGCGCTCTGCAGACTGACATCTACTGGTCCCTAGCCCAAAAGATGTCCACTTAGCCTCAGCCAGGGCCAGGGCCTTTTCTGCTCTATCCCTGCCTGGTGGAACATGCTCCCATCTCAGATCAGGGCCCTGCGGGACTTATTACAGTTCTGCAGGTCCTGTAAAGCAGAGCTGTTCTGCCCGACTTTTGGCTGAGGTGGTGGACACGCAACCCTCTCGGCCTCCCCTTCCCACAGTAATTTATTATCTGACTAACATCCTTCAGCAGGCACTATGGACTGCTTTGGAGTTGTTTTTTCTTAGTTGCCATCTTTTTTCTGATTGTTTTAACTTTGGCTTATTTGTTTATATGTTTATTCCTATTTTATTGTATATTTTATATGTTGTGAGCTGCCCTGAGCCCACTTGTGGAATAGGGTGGGATATAAGCTTAAATAAATAAATAAATAAATAAATAAATAAATTGTTGTTATGCTCTACTAATTACACCCAGAGAGAGTAGGCTAAATGGTCTTGATTTTTGAGATACAAATTTAAAGCTAGCGTGGTGTAGTATTTAGGCTAGGATCTGGTAGTTGTTGTTCAGTCGCACAGTCGAGTCTGACTCTTCACGACCCCATGGACCACATCATGCAAGGCCCTTCTGTCTTCCTGTTTTGCACCGGAGTTTGCTTAATTTCACGTTTGTTGCATTGATAACACTGTCTAACTATCTCATCCTTTGCCGTCCCCATCTTCTTTGACCTTCAATCTTTTCCAGCATCAGGGTCTTCTCCAGTGAGTGCTCCCTTCTCATTTGGTGGCCAAAGTATTTGAACTTCAGATGCAGCTTCTGGCCTTCCAGGGAACAGATAGGGTTGATTTCTTTTAGGACTGACTGATTCAATCTCCTTGCAGTCCAAGGGACTCTCAAGAGTCTTCTCCAGCACCATAATTCAAAAGAATCTATTCTTCGGCACTCGGCCTTCCTAATGGTCCACCTCGCACAGCCATACATTACTACTGGGAATACCATTGCTTTGACCATATGGACTTTTGTTGGCAGGGTGATGTCTCTACTTTTTATTATGCTGTCTAGGTTTTCCATAGCTTTCCTTCTGAGGAGCAGAAGGCAGAATTTCATGGCTGCAATCACCATCTGCAGTGATCTAGGATCCCAGGAACATGAAGTCTGTCACTGCTTCCACTACTTCCCCTTCTATTTGCCAAGGAGTGATGGGGCCAAATGCCATGATCTGGTAGACTGAAGTTCAAATCCCCACTCTGCCATGGAAGCTTGCGAGATGACTTTAGGCCAGTCACTTTCTCAGCCTAACCTACCTTGCAGGTTTGTTGTTGTGAAGATAGCATGGAAGAGGGAAAAATGATGTTCTAAGCAGTTTTGGGTCCACATTGGTGAGGAAAACCATGTAAATAAATAAATACATATAGCTTTCTATCAGAAGCAACAACATCACAGAAATCTATAGTCCAATCTGTTGCATGTTGATTTTGTCTCTCTAAAGTGTTACAAGAAACTTTAACACACAGCAATGCCTATTAAATTAAAAACTCATCCAATTTTGAGCAAACTTCCCCCAAAGCTACTACAAGGATAATATTTCACCCTGCCTTATTATACGATCCTTTAAAAATATTTCCCTCTGATGCGTGGATGAGAAAAACAATCGATAAATTCTATATATTTTGAAATGTCTTCTGTCTTTCTTGAGTTAACAGTAAATATCCTGACAAAAGAATTCTCAAAACATGTATATTATCTTTCACATGAGTTAGCATTTAATTTTGTTATTTTGGTCACTACATAAATTTATGCAAATCTAAGGATAAGGGGGGCTGAGGACTAGCAGCTAGCAGTGAAAGATTACAGAGCCCCTGAGAATTTATACAATGGCATAACTAATTTTTTCAGACCTTCTACTCATTTAGATCATAAAAGGTGTTCATAGGCACAGTCTAGAAGGAACATCTCCTGCTCTATTAAACATGAGTGGAGCTAATGCCTAAAAAACTCAGTTTCATCCCAATACAGCATATTAAGAGGACTTTCCTATATACTGGACTCTGTGTTTCCATATTACCTAGGTTTAATTTTATTATGAAAATTACTACAAGCTCTACTTTCACAATGTTTTAATTAAATTTTAGTGTAGTTGGGCTGGCTCGTAAATTAAAAAAAAAATCCATCCAGAAATACTCCAAAGGGTAAAACAGCCTCTTACATGTGATAATTAGGGTTGCCAAATCTAGGTTTGGAAATTCCTGGAGATATGGGGGGTGGGACCTGGGGAGAGTGGGGTTTGTGCAGGGGAGGGACCACAGTGGACTATAAAGCCATAGAGCTGAGCCTCCAAAGCAGCCATTTTATGCTGAAAGGTATGCCAGCCTCTAGGTGGGACCTGGGGAACCCCCCAGAATTACATCTTATCTCCAGATTGCAGAGATCAGTTCCTCTGGAGAAAATGGATGCTTTGGAAGGTGAACTCTAGGGCATTGTATGCCACTGAGGCTCCTGTCCCCATTCCCCCCCCCCCGCGCTCTATTCCCAAATCTCTAGGAGTTTCCAAACCGACATCTGACAGCCCTACCCCACATGTCCTGCTGGTGGTCATGGAAGACCTGGCAACCCCAGAAACTGATCCCTGCCACCTGGAGATCAACTGTAATTCTGTGAGATCTCCAGGCCCTGCCTGGAGGTTGGCAAGCCTGGTTAGTGACAGGGGCAATGCAAACGTAGATGCCTAACCCAACTGACAATAAAGCTATTTAAGGGTAAATACAACAGGACCATAATCCACCTAGCACATAATCAACCTAGCAACATATTAATCATACATTTTTGTAAATGCACATTCTGTGTTCCATAGTCATTAAAATGGAGTACATTGACTTATCAGTGTATTTGTAACACTCTTGCCCATTTCAATAGCACATACAGTTTTAAGAACAGATCAGACTACCTTGATAATTTAAGCATTAATTCCTTTTCAACTCTCTTAAAATCTGTGTGATTAAAAAAAGAGAATTCGTATGTAGAGTTAATATATGAGTCTCTTTTTGCTAGAATATTTATCGTTAAACATGAAGAAAGAGACCATTTCAGGAGATATAGTACCCACCCCCATCTATTTCCTCTGTTCATGCATCAGAAAAATTATAGCAGCTTGAAAGCTGACCTGATTATCTCCTTGTCCTTGAAAATTTGACCTCTGCACTAGTTGTAGAAAATACCAAACAGAGCGAAAGACCTAGGATGGCAATATTACAAGCACATAATTTAGTTAAGTAGGATTCTTGAGTGAATTTTAATGCTTTGGAGACTAATGTAGTCTGTGATTTTTAACTTTTTAATTCTCAAATGGTCTTTAATATAAAGAATGGATTATGTAACATTGATCATAAGGTGGGGCAGGAGATTGGGCAGCATGTGAAGTAAAACTTTTTAAATCAGATTTTAGGGGCTGATTGTAAATAAAGAAAAAGTGGCCATCATACCTCAAATTACTGTAGTCCTTTCATTCCCTAGTGTTTTCTACATCTTTTTTTGTACAAAGGCCCAGATATTTTCCTCCTTTCCCAGTTGAGAAAGAAGTGGATGATAGTCAGTGATCTCTGGGAGTGGAATGGTAGAGGCCATGGCAATACGGCAGCCAGGTTTCCTGCCTCAGTAGTCTCCCAGGGAGTTCTGTGGAGTTTACTAAAGCTGTGGAGTTTATGAAAGATTTATGATTATTTGATTCAACAGCTGTGTTAGTCAAATTTCCAATTAGAACTTTGAAAGTCCCCTGAATTTGAAAACTTGCTT